GCCAGAACCGGACACAGCACTCTGGACCTGCTCCAGGAGCTCCATGTCCCTCTGGCTCTGAGGAGCCCAGAACTGGACACAGCACTCAGGTGTGGCCTCATGAGGGCTGAGCGGAGAGGCAGGACCAGCTCCTGCCCTGCTGGCAGTGCTCCTCTTAGTGCATCCCAGATGTTTGAGGATGTAAAGCTGTCCATGGGCAGCAGAATTGCAAAAATGTGTTTTCCTGAATTCTCCCTCCCTTTCGTACCCAGTCTGTTTGTCGTTTTTTATGGAATAAAACCTACTTCAAACACTGGGTTTGGGCATTTTTGCTGAAGTCCACTTTTTAGCTACAAGGACTTTGACCCCATAGCAGAAAAATCCCATCATTTGGCACAGAAGAACTGCACTCCTCACAATTCTCTCTGAAAAGAAAGATAGGTGAAAGCTGTGCCTCCTAAAAATTGTAACCTATGTTTTTGCTGAAATAACTGTGTAAGAAATAACATCCTCTGATTTACTTGCTTTACAGAAAATCACATTTAATGTTAAGATTTTATCTGGTTGCAAATGAAAGTATTTCATTAGTTTAATACCACCCAACAAGAGCTAACAAGAATCATTTCTCTGAGAAATAAAATTGCAGATGTAAAATCATATTAAAGGAATTATTTAAATCAATCTGTTTCCTTGGAGCACTTCATCACTTTGAGTTACTCATGTTGAAAACTTCTATCTGCAAGACAGGCAATATTGGGGCTTCACTGCCCCTAATATGTGGGTCTGTCAGCAGGGTCTGGCTTCCCTCCCTCCCTCCTTCCCTCCCTCCCAAGCACGGACCAGGATTCCTGTGTATTTCATGAGCTTACTCAATTTCTTAGATACACTTATGGAAACAATCCAACCCACAGCCAACAAACCCACAACTGGATTTTCACTTTTATACCTACGGACACGTGGAAATGTCCATCATTCCTGCAGGGATTGTGCTGGGGTCCAGGCACTGCATTCCTGGCTGCTGTGCCATCAGCCCTTCGAGGCAGACAAAACTGCCATGACCTTCAGCCCCTGGAGATCAGCCCTGCGTGTTTCTAATGCACTTCTAGTGTCCCAGGGCAGAAAGAAAACACAATATTTGTTTGTGCCATCATTGTCTACCAGCAATTTCCACAAGGAACTTTTCAGTGGATATACTTGTTTTCTGCTGGGCTCAGTGTTGACATAACAGAAGAGCTTTTTATCCCCCTGGAAGCCTTTCTGAGCATTAGTTTTGCTATTTAAATGCTCCATTCTTTGCCAATATAAAAAAAGCTGTGGGAGATGAAAATATTCCGAATCACACTGCAAACCAGGGATAGAGAACTTGTTGAATATTAAGCCGAATTGTCCCCACCAAAGAGAGCCCTGGAAACACCCAGGACAAAAACAGCAGCACAGACTGTGGGGTGAGCACAGGAACCACTTCCACGATTCAGAGGGCAGCAAGCAATGGCTTTCTGGACAAGGAGCCAGGCAGCTCAAAAGCAACCTGAACGGGGCCATAAAAACCTTTGGGTGCCAGGAAAACTTCCTTCCCTGGGAGGATTGTCAAGCATTGGCACAGCTACCCAGGGCAGCGGTGGAGTCACCGTTCCTGGGGGGATTTAAAAGAGGTGTAGATGTGGTGCTTAGGGACATGTTTTAGTGCTGGGTTAACTGTGGGACTTGGTGATCTTAGAGATCTTTTCCAACCTAACAGTTCTATGATTATTGCAGTTTATTTCGGCTGTTGGTGAGGAAGATGGTCCTAAATCCAGGCCACGCTTTGGTGCCCTGGCACAAATGGCCACATCCTCACAGGTTTCCTGGCCCAGCACTCCTGCACAATAGTATATTTATCATTCTTTCTCCAAAAGAGTAAATGTTTTATTAATGTTCAACTCTCTAATCATAATCAAGGAGTAGTGAGTCTTGATTAAGTCATTAGTGGCTGTTACGAGTCTATATTTCATTCTGTAAAGCTGAAAGAATAAATAGTATTAATACTATTAAAAATGTATAGCTTCTTTTCCCCCTATATTTTCTGTATGTTGTAAAGTGTCTCAAGAAATTACATGAAAGATGTTATGCAAAAAAACTAGGGCATGAGGCACATGTGAGCTGTCACAAGGTGCTGAAGCATTGACCTTGCTGCTCCCCATCCCAGGGCGCAGGCCCCAGCGTGGCCCTGCCAGCACCAAGCTGCACCTGGACACAGCAGCCCTGAGCCTGGGAGCTCGTGGGGAAAACCAAACCTCCTGCGTGGAGTCAGCGAGAGCTGTGCCATTCCAGGGGCAGCAGGGTTTGATCCCCGGCCGCCTGCAGAGCCTCGAGCATTGTCCTCTGCTGCTACAGGGCACCTCATAGGGAATTTCACCATGGGGCAGCAGAATGGTTTTCTTAGCTGCTGGCAGCTTGTAATCATTCACAGACTCCTTGTAGCAGCCGTCCCTGGGCAGCCAGGGCTCTCAGGTGGAAATGGTTGGCCAGCAAGCAAAAGGACAACTTACAGAAAGGACAGAAAGGAACAAGCCTTCAAAGAATTTGGGTCTGCCACCAGCTCTGAGATTTCTTTCTGCTCACTGTGTGGCTGCCTGAAAAAGCTGAACACAACAGAGCACCACTGAGTTAATCTTTTCAGGTATAAAATCTCCCCATAGCTGCTCATTCAATCACAAGGCAAGAAAACAACAGGCACATTCAGCTTTAATGAAATAATCATAATTTCTATGTACAGCTATAACAGAGAGAAAACCAGCTACAGAGAGGATGCAAACACAACCCTGGCCACAGAGCAACAGTTGCAGGGCAGGGCTGGACCAAAGCTTTCCTGCCATTCTCCTCTTTCAAAGACGTTTTGCCTGACAGGCAACACTGAACTAACACGGCAGCCTCCCCAGAGCACTTGGCAGGCTGGCAGGAGAGGACAGCCTGGCCCTGCAGGGTCAGCCTGTGTTCAGAGCTTGGCCATGCCCCTGCAGGGCTGGCTGCAGCAGGGGTGTCACCCACGGCCACCCCAGTGCTCTGCCGGGGCCTGCGGGGTCGCACAGGGCACCCCAAAAAGCCAAACTACGGCGAAACTCCTGGAAGTACAAAGGCATCGAGATCGTACACACTGAAGTATTGATATCTGATAACTTAATAAATAAATTCACAGGAAAAAGACACTTTTTTAAAACATACTTCGATTTTTCTTCAGTTTTACTTGCACAGGAATGAGCTGTGGTTGTCACTGCTCACAGTCCTCTCATAACTACAGAGATGCTTTACCAAGGTTTCGAACACGGTTGTGCATCA